TTCACGATAGAGATCAGTAAATGTGCCAATAGCGTATTTTAAACTATATAATATTTTACCATTGATCCTTATTTAATGAAACGATAGCACCATAATTGTTTCTTTGTTATTAGGCCTTTAGCTTAAATTAGTTGCTTGTTCAAGTAATTTTTTTCTGTAATACAAGCAACGACAAGATATTGGAGTGTACATTGACGCGGCGAAGCAAGTTTGCCGGTTAGTTTTTCAAGGAGCAAAGCTAACGCGGTCGGGACCGGGAATGCGACTCGCGTAGTGGTGGGGGGCGATAAAATAAGTGGGATACATTGACATCGGTCACGCGGTTCAGATATGTTGCTTAGACTGGATTAGGCGAGGCTGGATGCTGCGCCTAGGTTCAGGTTGAAGCAACCTGTTGCCTGCCTAGATTTTTAATGAAGTGATTACTACGATGTGATGTACTTAGGTAATTTACTTCAGTATTTGTTTGGAAATTAAATTAATCAATAAATTAAATCTAATCTAATCTGCTATCTGAATTTATAGGTTCGTTAAGATGTAGTTTATTTATCATATAAGTAAATTACAAGCCATCCAATCTTTAAAATCAAAATAGCTGTCGCCCGCTACTCTGTGCTCTCTAAAAAAAACTTAATGAGTTGTCCGTATGTTCTTCCAAATTATGCTTTTTATCTATGCTAAATTTCATCGATATTCTTTGAGCCATTTTGAAGATACCATCCATGCACACATTCGCATTAATAATATAACTAAAATATACATTTAAAATAGAAACTTTTTAACAATCGTTTATATATAGTAAGCAAATGTAGTAACTAATTAATAATAAGAGCGGCGTATCCTAGACATGATCAACTGCCCCACATTACAATTAGCCATCTCCCTCGCCCACGTTGATGTACCGCGAATAGTTCTATGTTAAAAACAATTGCTAGCGAACGACAACTGCAAGTGAGCAGCTCGCGGTATGCAAGTGTAGGTGCTTGAAAATCGATAGCTATTTCACTGTACAGAGTATTGATCAAACAGAGCTTACGTTATTGTGAATACACTGCTTTTCAGGACCAGCTTAGAGTTCTGTGACTAATTTAGTTCTTCGTCAATTAATTAAAGGCCAAAGACTAATTAGAGTCGAATCTGGATAAGCAAGACGCCAAGGGACCACAATATTTTTCTCACTTATAGAGTTTACTCTCCAACCCGAGGTTCTCGCTTAAGTAGATGAAGGGACCAGACAGCGACTCTCTGTTATGGTGGTTTCCCTCTTATCCGTAGCGTTTGCATAAAAGAAAGTAAAAGACATTTTTTCTAAACTTATAAACAGAAAAGATTTGATTGTTTGTTTGCATTAAATAGGCTCTGAAACAACGAACCGAGTGAACTGATATAAAAACGGCTAAACACTCACGTATATTCGACGGCGGCACCGACTAGTTTCGAGCCCATCGGGGGCCGTTGATCAGGGTGTGTGGTACTGGTATTATTTCGCGGACGCGGTCTGTTGTTCACTGTCAGTAAAACTCGAACCTAGTCGGTGCCGCCACCGGACGAATATACGTGAGTATTTAGCCGTTTATATATCAGTTTAGTATAATGTCTCACGAAAGTTGAATAATTGAACCGAGTGAAGTTGTGTTCAACTGCAAGTAACTACGAAATATTAGTTTCTTCTACTGTCTTATATTTGTGTACACTACATACTTAACAAGAGCAGGTTAATGGAAACCGACAGATAACATTGATCATAAAATACCATCGTCCCGCAGAGTCGCGTATCGACATCGTTTAGCCTTTTTTTTTTCAATAATTTACCAGATGAAAATTAGCTCGCGAATAAATAATTACATCGAGTAAAATTATTTACAAAGTAAGTCCTTGTCTCCTTAGTGCAGGAGCAGTAACATTTACCAGCTACCTGCTACTTACGTGGCTATAATTTTCTATAATGTTACCTACAATGTAACTAGACTTTTAGAACTTTTATAACACACAGAAGATAGTATTATACCAATAATTATTAGAATTCTCTAGCGTTTTATTTTGGATTAAATTTCAAAATAGCCATTACAAAATTATTGCAATTTTTAACTTACTATCTTTATTCTTACTAATATTATAAATGAGAATGTTTGGATGTATGGATGGGTGGATGGATGTTTGTTAGAAGGTATCTCAGGAACGCTTGCATGGATCTCGCTGAAAGGCAATAATGGAGAAGAATGAGGAACACATAGCCAACTAAATACATATTTTATTTCCGGGCAGAAGGAGTCGCGGACGACAACTAGTGATTGCACCAGCGCATGAGCTTGTCAAATATCCCACATGACATGTGGTGATGTCGCCGATTTATCCATCTTAGCTTAATAAAGCTTAGTAAATGCTTATTCATTCTACTATTGAAGGCATTTTCATCATACTTAAACAGATAAAGATTCTAAAATACACATGTTTAGAACTGAAGTGTCCTAAGGCATAAAAAGAAGAAAGATCTTTTAAAAACTGACAGAAATCTTAAGACAGATGTATCTACCAAATCTTTCTAATTAGCCAGCTTTTGCCTCTATATGACCGCCATTTTAAAATATTCTAGCATTATTCAGTTCACAACAAAGTATTTAAAGATAAATTGCATCTTAAAATAATAAAATTAAATAATCCTTTTGGTAATATTAATATTTATGATATTTAATGAGTGTCTCCATTAAACGCGCGGCGACTTGACAGGACAGGGAAAAAACAAAGCACGGGTTCGTTACACTGCGACTCTAGCCTTATTTGTAAACATTGGCCGCTAGAGGGCTCTTGTAGGAGGTAGGCTGTCTAGCTTAGGTAACATAGAATAAGTTTAAGTTAGGAGTTTACTCGTAGTATTTGAGGATAAAGGCAGACGGGAAGATACGAAATGGCCAAGTACAATGACTATTAGTTAAATCTTCTTTTTTAGTAGATTCTATGAGCGATTGACATATATTTGTCATATGTTTGAATTACACAAACTCCTTATATTATTTCTAAAATAATTTGAATATATTTACTGTAAGGAAAAGACATCAACGCTAAATAATTTGAGACAGTTGTCTAATGATTCGAAGACAATGATTTATTTGTTATTGTTTTGATATGTTATGTTATACATAATAAGCATATAATGTAAAATATAATATGTCAGCCAGCTTAAGTTGGAACACAAAGCTTCTTATATATGCACTAGTTTTGCACATCTATTTGCAGAGACCTAGAGTCGCAACAAGTCTGCTAGGGTTCCCTGCAGTATTTACTTATTTGTTATTATGCATTAGAAAAAAGTTCATTATTTATGGATTCCAAATATAAGGTTTATTGAAGCAATTTTGTGAAAAGGCAGAAGTATACAACCCGATATCTTGTTATAAAAGCTTTTAAGATGTAAGCTGTAGTCTTAAAATTAGTAAAAAGAATTCCCCTAGTTATTGAAACTTTTTAAAACTCTCTTTTTGCGTTTTTTCCAAACCTAATAAAATTTCTATATCTGGATAGTAATCCACTATTGTAATTATATTAAAATAATACAGAACCATTGTTTCTGTAAGCAATAGATGCGTTTTATTTTGCCCACAACCGGTTGTAACGCATCGTGTGAAAATTATAAGACGGCCTGAGTCGCCGCCTGCCTTGCTCTGCCTTCCCTTGCCCTGCACTGCGCGGTACCTGCTTATGTAATAACTAGTCTATACTAGGCCTATGCTCACTACATGCTGGATTTATATCTAGTTTTGTCTTAAGAAATTCAATAGAATAGGAGATCAAGATAGTTTGTTGGGTGCTCCGTTTTATTTTACATCTTTTTGTTAAAGTCGACTATTTGCGCGAACGCCATCATTTTTTTTTCATATTAAATTGTGATATAACTTCTTTATTTTAAACACTACTTTATAAGATATTAGCTATCGCCTGCGACTCCGTCCGCGTGGAATAAAAAAAACTTAATTAGTTCCCGCCAATTATCCGAATTTTTCTCACCTTTTAAACCTTCGCTAGACCTCCACGATCATTTCAAGACCAAGTTTAATAAATCCGTTCGGCTGTTCTCGAGTTTTAGTGAGAATAACGAACAGCAATTGATTTTTATGATGTGATAAGATACCTCGTTCACATAAAAAATATTTTACTGTTGAATATTTTGCTATATTTTTTCTACAGGCGCTGAGGAAACGTTTTTGTAAATTTTATTTTTGTCCGTTTAAACAGTTGATACACATTATTTGTACTTTGACAAATAAATTTTGAATAAAACAAATAAATGGTTTTAAATTGTTTATTACATCAAATGCGTCGCATTATTATTATTTTTTTAATTTTAATTTTAAAACAAAAAATAAATTGGTGTGATACAATGTTTCTTTGTATGCTAACTATTTAACTACATATTATTAGTTCCTTTAATATGTTATAAAGTTTTGACATAACCATTTCCTTGCAAGATATTATATCACTAATATTTCAAAAGCAAATCCTAAAAGAAATATGTACGCTGTATGAACGAAATTCCAAAGAACTTTGGAAACCGTAAAGGTACAAAAAAAAACTGACCGGGAATAGAGGTGTCTATCAAAACTCAAAAACCTTTTAATTGAAGTAAGTTAAACAAGATTGACTATGGCCTAGGCATCCCTAACATAGTGTAGACCCCAAGATCCACATTGGGAACGTATTGTAAGCTGAGGATGAAACAAGATGGAAAGAAAATGCTTATGTCAAAACTAATACGAGAATGTTTCTTGAATAGTGTTACTACGTCTTTAGTAGTAATAAACACTATTGATATATGTCCATAATTATTTTATAATATTCACTGTCTACGTCAAGAGGTAATAAGCTAAACAAGGAATGAAAGAGGCTTCGTAAAAAAATAAAAATGGAAAAATATTGTCTTTGGCTGCTGTACAGGTAATGGAGAGTTGTCTTGTACTTCGCAGGTGAAAAACGTCCAGGGTCAATGAACTTTTGCATTAGTTTTCTTTTAAATTATTGCATTACTAACAACTTTTTTGGAGGTTAAGTTCGATCGATTTTTCCGCGATAAAATTTTCAAAATGAGATGTATGCAATACAAAAACGCATTTGCTTTTTTTTAAAAATAGCACCAATACACAAATATCAGCACAACGCGTACTTGCGACGCTTCCAACACTTTTTTTTTAAGTAAAACAATTTTACAACTAGCAACACCAAATTTTACGCGGCAAATTAACCAACGAGTTAAGTTTATTACAGAAGAATTATTGTTTTTAATTATATAAGATTAGCATATTGAACATTTGCACCCTATTCTTTTGATCACACATACCTAAACCATTAGGAAATATACAATAGTTCTATGTAAATAGATATGTATAAGTAAAATTAATTATTCACTATGGTAACACTTCTACAAAGGAATTACAGAATAATAAACAAGATTTTTTTGATTAATATTGCGCTTTTGTTTGTGGTATCTGTATTTTTTTGCCTATAAAGATTATATTTTACAAGTAAAGCGAGGAAAGCAGAATACGTAGACATTGTAATCCGAGAAATAAAAAAAAAACATTCCTATAAAATTACTCAAACAGAATCATATCAACAATTAATATAAAATATTAACGAACGTTAAAATTTACAAAAACTACAACTTAAATAAACGCAATTATAGCCAACTACAATATAAACATACCTAAATTTATTTGGTCTCAGTTAAAAATGTCTTAACAAAATACAATCAAGTTAACAATATTAACATTCAAAAGTCGGATTTGAGATTCATTTCGTCGTAAAAATCACGACTCAGTAGAGATACACCCGCTAGAAATTATGAAAATGACAGTTTTGACAAGTAAAATGTGGGTTGCCATATTCCTTACATTTGCACAGATAAGAATAGAATTTCCTTTACTATTTTATTATTGTGATATCTGTATATTATACGACTTACAATAAAATATGTTTTCTCACCATATTTATATTCAAAGGGAATAATTATAAGTGATATTTTGATATGATAAGTAATGGAAACACAACCGAGAAAGTTAGTTTTTTTCCTTATGTTTGTTTTTAGGCAAAGGCGTATTGAGCCATTGAGCCACATTTTAAGGTGAGAACACTCTAAGACTGCGCAGAAGTGTTGCCAGCACGTTGGCGAGACATTCCGCTCTAAGCGCCAGTTGCCCTTCAAGAGTGGAGCTGGTCTCCTGACCCTGACCCTGACTCTTGGCGTTGTGCTCGTGGATGATCTGCGCCATCTCCGCGCCGGCGAGGTCTTTGAACGCGGCCATCACGTCATGTACTCGCAGAACTAAGTTCCTTGTCTGTAAAGGTGATGATGTATGCCTGCCCAGAGCCTGAAATATACAATTACTTTTACTACTCAAATGTGAGTACTTGACCTCTGTTTAGAGAAGAGGAGAACGCGAGAGGAAATGTCTACTACAAGAGAATCAAGGTAATTACCTGTGCCAGGTCGGCCAGGCGGCGCAGCGGGGCGAGGCAGTCGGCCAGCGCCTGTGCAGCGCCCGCGCCGCCGCCCAGCGCCCCCACCAGAGTGCGCGACGTGCCCACCAGTGACACCGCACACATCGTCAGCTCGCTGCGGGCGCGCTGCAACCGAACAGAATATTTGTATTGGACGGTCGCAAGAAATCAAAATATGACATATTTTATATGAAACACATAATTTCTAGTCAATTAGAGAAGATACCTGAAATTTGACTTCGTCGATGTCCTCGCCGCCACCATGGGAGTGCTGATGCGAGCACTTCTGCGCGGCCTGGTGTAGCCGCTGCAGCAGCCCGTCCACCGCCGCTTCCGTCTTGCACAGCAGGTTCTCGAGGGACACGTGCCCGTTGTTTCCGGCGGAAAATTCGGGGAACTTCACCGTGGGGGGTGAGGGCGGGGTCGGGATGTCGTCCACGATGTCCTCCTTGAACCTCACGTGGTTTTGTGTCTTGGGCGTCGGGCTGGATGTGTCCAGACGAAATGATTTCCTTTCGGACAGGGGTGGACTGAACACCTTATGTTCGCTCCCCAGCGCGCCGTTCAATATGTCAGGCCGGTTGCTGAATCGACGGTTCATTTGCGGCGAGCATAACGATAGAGCCGTTGACATTTCTTTGTTTTTCAGTATCGTGCTTTTAGTTTCGGAGTTGGACCGAATGTGGCGACTCTGCAACGTTAAGGAACTGTAATTGTGTGAGGATCTGATAGTGGACTCGTCGTCTGTCAGTCTGCTCTCGTTCTCGAGGTTGCGGTAGGTGCTCAAGTTCCGATGGAAGTGTGGAGATCCGATGCTAGCGAGGCGCTGCTCGGGGTTGCGGACCGGAGATAGTTTCTGTGAAGTTTTCATTCTTAAAACTTCAATACTCGGCACCGGAGGAAGGGGTGGTTTCTTTGGGGGTAATAAGAGGGGTGGGGGAGGTGCGAGGACCTTGTTCTCTATTCTAGGGGGTACCTGAGGAGGGTGCTGGGCGTGTTGCTCGTTTATATCGCACACAACTTTGTAGTTTAACTTTCTGTTGTTCAAGGTGCTGAACTGATGGCTCGGTATATCTACTGCGCTCAATTCATTATTTGAGCAGGTGAAGGAGTTGGAGCGTGGTCGCGGGGCTGGGGTCGGCGGTGTCTTGGGAGGTCTCTCAGGGGCTTTTTTAAGTTCGGTGCTTTTTCTTCTAGGCGGAGGTCTAATTTCGCAAACATCGGGCATCGTGTCGGAGTTCTCTACGTGACCGTCTACTTTGTCGGTCTCCTCGGAGCTGTCATCGTTTTTGCTCTTATCTTTGCTACAACAAGAAAACATACCTTTTCTCTCGACCGTAGGATATTCAATGATATGTGCGACGCCGTTTGCCTGCTTCTCTCCTGTTATACTTTTTCTTTTACCTTTTGGTGAGTCGGTTTTGGAGGAATTTTGCGTTTTACTTTTATCTTTTAACAAAAGACTGTTCCTAGCTTCGCTGAGCGTTTTTGCCGCAAACATATTTCTAATTTCGCTGACACTTAAAGTTCCTCTCACCACGTCTCCGTTGCTTGGTTTCACATCGTTTGTCGGAACTTGATCATTTTTTTCTTGCGAGACCTGAGTTTGATTAACGTAACTGCCGTCCCTATCTAAAGTCGAGGAGTTTGAGGCGGGCGGCGGGGGGATGATGTATGACATTATTTCTTCAGGCGTCAGTTCGATGGCGGGGGTGACTTTCACCGTGGGCGGCTGAACGGTCACGTTTGCGATAAATTCTTCCAGTTCGTTCTTTGGGACACTTTCATCTGCAATATCCTTATCATCGGCAAAGGATGGCGGGACAACGGGTAAAATCTGAGGCACCTGCGTAGTGCCGTCTAGTTCGTCGGGCGTCTGAGGCGGAGGGATCAAAGTTAAATCTATAAGCTCGGCGTCGTTGTCGACCAGACCCTCCTCGTAGTAAAATGGAAACTCGGCTCCCGCTGAGTTTTCTTTACTACTTTTCTCTCGTAATTGTTTCAGATACTCTTTTAAGTTCGGTTCTCTGTTGTCCAGGGTGGCGTCTGGACTGTGCAAGCCGAAGCTGGTTCTTACCGCTTTATTTGCAGGCTTGTTTAAGTGCTTGCGTATCGGACTACTGGTCGGCGTGTAGAGAGAATCATTATCGCTTTCGGACTGACACGCGTCATTATTTAAGGCTAACAAAGCGTCAGTGAGGCCACAATTGTTTAATATAGCACTTAGTCCTTGAGACTGCCTCTTTGTTAAATCATTTGAAACATCTTTCTCTGGTTCCGCAACGGTCAAGCCGCTTAATCCTTGATTGATTGTCTCGGTCAGCAGTAACAAGGAATCGCTGTGTTTCAGTATGCCGGGGGTGTCGTCAGCCGCCGACATTCTGCTCGCGTTGGACTCCGTGTCGCTCTCCGGCTGGTCCACGCAAGTCTCTCGACCACCTATCTCATCGCTGAGGACGCCCTCGTTGTAGCCGTTCTCATGAAAAACGTCACAGTTCTCAGTTAAGTATTGTTCGGAGTTTTCAACGAGCTTTTGCATTTCTTCCACTCGTCGGAGAACCTCCTCGTTCTTAGCTTCGACTAAGCGTGGATTGTTGACGGCATTTTCCAGTAGTTCCAGGGACAGCACGCTTTGAAGATCGAAGCCCATGCCGTCTTCCAGATAGCACGCGTCGTTCGGATCGAATAATCTGAAGTCCTCGTTTCTCCTACATTTCTCGAAGTGTACGTCGTGACCGAGTAGACCGGATTTGGAGTCGTAGCCTATAAGCGGACTGGAGTTGTTGCTGTGATTTCTGTTGGCGATGCTGGTGTTCATATTGGTGTCCAAGTTAGTCTTGGAGGTGTCCGGCGTGGCGTGATACGGCGGCGGCATGCTGAATATCGCGAAATGTTTCCTGGCGAGCTCCGCGGGGCTGTCGTGGTGCAGGTAGCTCCATTTCGCCGGCACAACGTTGTGCTGCGACAAGTATGGTGGTGCTGGAATATAATAACATTTATTTTAATTGACAACGAATTCAAGTTATTAAGAACAGTAAAAGAAGTAATGTGTTAATTTATAGCATTTTAATTTTGCTCTCACCGATATCTTCAGTAATCGGCTCCCTCTCCAGTTCTACATTAAGCTCTTTGCCTGTAGCGAGACGATAATATCTGAAATTGATACAAATAAAAAAACGTCAAGCCGTAAATATTATAAAAGAATGAGATAAATTGATATTCAATGTGCACACCCGGCGATGACGAGCGGCATCTCGGCTGCGTCGCGCTCCTCCATGAGCAGCGCGAGCACGCGGTCGCGGCGCAGGAACACCGCCACGTCCGCCGCGCCCCCCTCACCTCCCTCCCGCCGCACGCGCACGCACTCCACCTCCTCCAGCGACGCTATCGACTGCGGCTGATACACAAACAAACAATATAACCCATTCCTCATTCACATACAGAATTGAATACATGTCAGTAGATCAGCTAGTCTATCTCACCACTGCGTTGTTGTTGCCGAGGATCTGACTGAGACCGAAGCGTGGGGAGACGAGCAGCACTCGCTCGGGCCGCGCGCAGCTGAAACACTTCGCGCCGTAGCTCGGCAGCCCCCCCACTATGTCCAGGTAGTGCAGTTTGGCCTGCAACCGTAAACACAAAACTTTAAAAACGGTCTACGAAAAAAGCTAGCTAAACATCTATCTCTGATATAAAGTAATGTAGGTGAGATGATACTAGTTATGTCTCCCGTGTAGCAGTACAGTACCTGCAGCTGCGTGAGTTGTCGCTGGGGGCCGGTCATGTGCGCGTTCAGCTTGAGCGCGTGTGCCAGCAGCCGGCGCAGCTCGCGTCGCCGCATGCCCTCCAGCAGCCCCGCCGGCACGAACCGCTCCAGACCGAACTCGCGTCTGCAAGCGAGAAGAATTCTTTACACACCATATCACATAGCACAACAACAAAGATAGACAAGAAATCTTGACGGTCTACACGAAAACTTCATATAAATGATTAGAAACTTTTGGACTTGTGGGAGATCTTTGAGAGGACTCACTCGACAGTCTTGACGGTGAGCTTGGTGGGGGAGAGGTTGTTGGCGAGCGCGTGCTGGTGCACGTGCAGGGCGGCGAGGCGCAGCGCCACCTCGGGCTGCAGCTCGGGCGCGAACCGTTCCTGCAGGACGTCGTTGCAGCACTGCACGTAGAGGTAGTCGAGCGCGGCCAGGTCGCGGCGCGCCAGCTCGCCAGCTGAGCTCGGCACGAACACCACTCGGTACAGGCACCGCATCTTGTGCGACCCCGGACGTGCTGCGATCTATACAACATCATCACGTCATCACAGTTATTGTTAGCAACTTCAGAGAGATAAGGCCAGCTCTAAATGTAGTATCGCGTCATGATGGTCGTCAGTTTAAATGCTATTGTTAAGTTGCGATACAACAGTTATGTCATATTGATTTGTTTGTTCACATCACTGAACACGATGATGTCATGATAATATTGTGATGTCATATGTATTTAGTTATCAATGAATTATCTGAGAGTTGTGGTTAGAATAGTGGTTAGATTTCTTCTGAAGCCTTAAGTAAAAAGTAATAAGCTTATCCGTTATGTGTTCAACTGACCCTGGCCAAGGATTCCTTAGGGTCGAGAAGCGTCAGCTTGTTCCTCCGGAGACTTTTAACATGTTCGACGACGAGGCTGAAGTGCTCTGTGGCGGTGATGCACAGCTTGTCTTTGAGGCTGGCCACCACATCCGCCACCGTGGTCGTCGCGTCGTACTTGAATGACTTCGTCTGTCCGTTCTCCAGGAACACCTTCAGCACGTTCGCCATCGGGGGTAGACAGAGGTCGCCCAGCGAGAATGCTGACGGCTGGAAATTTTATATGTCAACTTTCGATCAAAATATGAGAACTCACCAAATAAGACCAAAATATAAAATAACATTACTACTAATTTTCCAAATCTTAAAGGGACTAGTTGTCAGCTGAAACATTTCATTTGATTCTCGATTCTTACCGGATACATGGGTGCGCCGTTCAACTGTACAGAATCGGCGAACCTGACTCTGGGCGGTTTAGCCCTGAGCCGCGCCCGCTTGGCAGCAGAGAGCAGGGCGGAGCGGCGCGCGGCGCTGCCGGAGCGTGCCGGCTGGCACACCCGCAGCGTGACGCGCTCCGAGCAGGCGCGCACTGCAGAGATGACGTGCTCGCGCGCTGCAAGACGCACGTCCTCGCCGTTAACGCACAGGATCTGGTCACCAGGCTCCAACTGGAATGTACATTATGAAATAGATATTAACCATGGAAGATATTAAAATCGAGTGTTATTGAGTAATCTACACTGAGTTTTTTTAAGTAATTTTAAGTTTAAATTTAATGACTGGGTTTTTCATTAACATACATTCATAGTTGATTATGACATCGTTGATTTCTTCTACGTCACACATAATTTACAAGACTATAAAACTACAGAGAGGTGTAGCATTAGTTACTTTTCCGACGCTAGGCGAGTTGTCGGTGACGAAGCGCACGAGGACGGGCTTCTCGGAGCCGGCGACGAAGCCGAAGCCGAGTTCGGGGTCTCGCTGCAGCACGACATCTCGCGGCGCGGGCGGAGACTCGCAGCCGCAACCCTCCGGCGCCACGTACGTCGTCGTCTTGTTCACATGACTAGAACAGTGTACACAGATTGCTGGTAGATGTCGTTGTACGAACGACTTTATTTGAGGTGACTTAAGTTCTACGCATTTATTTAGTCTATTCATTTTACCTAACAAAAGCCTATAGGAGGGTGAAAGAAATTACTAATAATATCTTACTTGATGTAGTAAGGCTTGCCCCTGCTGTCGAGTGCCTGCTCCCAGCCGTACGGCAGGTCCTCACCCTCCGCCGGCCCCTCAGGCCCAGCGCCCGCTCCCGCCCCGCATGCCCCGCTCGGCCAGCTCTCCGCGGGCGGCAACCAGCTCGCAGTGCGCGTTATGTGACTGGAATTGACAAAGATATCATCAGTACTATGCAACTTTGACTTTTCAACTTACGTTGTAATAAAAGTTATAAAATTACTTATGAATGAATATTATATATTTAATAATTTTATTTATTATTTAAATCTAAGTTTTAATATCTGCTATTTTTAAATATCGAGTTTTATATAATTTGTAACAGTTTGTGTTGAGAATGGATGATGTCAAATCAACCAAGGGTTATATTTAAACAATAACCAGGACGTAGATATCGAAGTAAACCGAAGGTGATAGTGATTGGTCGATGTTAATATTAACGCAAATTAGAGAACTGTTGCCACGCATACACCGATGTGGAAAAATGTTGGATCAAGCCAGAACACTTGCAAAAATTTGCTGCACTTGTAAAAATTTTAAACATAAACGCCGCATAAAAGGTATCCTTCATTTAGTAAACTTGCTATGTAAAATATTATTTTACTTTATTCATGAATATCAAAATATAGAGAGCTGAACAAACAGAGAGCGCAGTTTAAACTGTCTCTTGCCTATCCGCTGCAGGCCGCCCGATCTGCTGCTCCATTGCTCTGCCCCATGTTGACCTAACTCTTCAATATTTCACATTTTATACAACATTTAATATTTGACGAATGTAAAACATTTCCACATATAAAACGACTAATATTTGGTCACAAATAAAAATATGACAAGAAAATGTTTATGGAAAAAAAGTTTTAGTACGACGAAGAATTTAGTTTCGAGATTTATTCTCACCTAATAACACTAAAAAAATAATCACTAACAGTAAATTCACACACAAATACATACATACAAAAGGAAAATGTATTTGTTTTAATAAAAACAAAAACGTTTTTAACATCAACATATTTGAAAGAAGATGCGATTAAAATTGCCAATGTCGGCGTTGTTGTTAAAGCTCCAAAATTTCCATAATAACGTACACGGTCCCAAATCCGCGTACATTCGTCTAAGTACGTCGTTATCATGTAAAGCGACCGCCCCACGGCACCACGGCCCCACTGCCGCAAGGCCCCTCGGCTCTTATGTACCCTCCACTTCCCCGTGGCCCCACGACTGACACAACAAGACATAAACCAACCCCCAGCGTCCGCTCAACGTGACGCGAGTATGTAATAAATACGCTCCAACCTCGCGGACATATTTTTTCCGGCACGTTTTATATCTCTGCCGCTTTTATCGCGCATATGTCGTAAGCTTTTTAAGGTTCCGGCTACGCGAGTAACCCTTTGCACGCCTACAGCAATAAAATGATTGGCCTTTTAAAACAATTTGGACTAAAAGGGTTAAGCTGCAGGATTTGAACAGATGTTATCAGTCCTGTAAATGATTTTCACAAATATAAATGTGTTTAATTCCCAAATATCGTGAGACATCAATATCTTCTTTCAATTATTTGTTGCGCTAATTTATTTTAGAGTTGAAATTAAAATATTCAATGTAAAAAGTTATTTTAACTAACCGAGAACAGTTTAAAACACTTACTTGTGAACAAAGAATTTCCTACCAAGTGCGGTAAGCTGAACACATCTAAGTTACAACTTAACGATTAAGTACTATATAAGTACGCTGCGAGTAACTTCCATTTTTGCAGATTAACGTGTTTAAAAAGTTGAGTCGCGGGGGAACTTTACATTCCTGTACAACGTTCGACGTGAATTTACTACATACAAAATGTATTTGTCTGTTGTTTTGTTGTATTAAGACAGTTGTACTTAACACTCTAATCAGAAAGGATACGGTAAAATTAAATACATTTAATTGTTTAATAAATACGATTAAAGTACCAATTTAATCGTATTTGTTAATGTAGTTAGAGCGTCGGTGGCTCAGGGGTCAAGCACTTGACTTGCAATCTGCTGGGTTCAAATCCTGCCATGTACCAATGTGTATTTCCATTTCCTATTTACATATGTACATTTATCCGACGTTCTTACGGTGAAGGAAAACATCGTGATGCAACTTATACATATCTGAGAAGAAATTCAAAGATATGTGTGAAGTCAACCAACCCGTACTTGGCCAGCGTGGTTGACTATGGCCAAATCACCCTTAAGTTAGGGTAGGCTCCGAGCCCCTCAGTGGGGACGTATAGTGAGCTGATGATGATGTGTTTCTGTAGAATTAGGATAAATGTTTTTCTATATATATTTTTAATTAAAAACAAATAAAATAGACCTAACTATGTATATAGGTAGTATGTATGGTATAAATGTCATTAACCGTAGGTTTCTAAGACCGAAATCCCCGTTTAAAACATAATGTTATCTCTGTTTTCTTAAAGTTTTATACAGACATTTTGGTATCAGAAACCAACGATAACTAAAACGAATAATAATTGTAATATTATGTCAGACATAGTCAGATGTGAAAGTTGTGTAGAAAGTACTCCAGCGCCGAATGTAGTCTCAGTGGCGGTAACCGCTCGCTTTAGCAAATGAATGCCTAATTACGCGACATTTTGCGAAGTTTTCTGAGGAATTCGTTCTCTACCGACGTGAGTTTAAATTCCTCGGATAAAGTTTACTTTATGAGGAGAACGTTTAAGATATTCTCTATGGATTTCGTATTTGAATTTCTTGCTGAAAGTTTCATTTTGAAGTAAATTTTACTTATTTTATTTTTAAGGTTTAAGCTCTGCGCTTGATGTAAAATTTTGTACTCGCTTAAAATTAAGAATTACCTAAGTAACTGATCTAAAGCATAGACATCTAAGAACAATTTTTAACATATAAAATCTAATTCATATGTAAAATGTCGTCAATCATTATTTATTTTAAATAGCAACAAAGGGCCTAGTACAAATATATGTGAGAACGTATTTATAACGTCAGCTATAAAATTTGTCTAAGAATTTGTGCGAAAAGTACATCAAGAATATTTTGTCACTAATTACGAGAACGCATGTCGCAAACTATTCGTGTTACGCACTATGAATTTATATACAAATACGTGGAGGATAATTCTATGAATGTTTATTTCCAAAAACGTCAACTAATCCGGTACAAACTGCGTCACCTGACATAACAAAATCATTCACTCTCACTCCCCCTACACTTAGAACCGTTCTTTTTACGAGAACATATTTTTCACGTCGTTCATACGTGTACAAAAGCTGAGGAAACAACATGTGTATTTCCACTTACATACTTGTTATCTTTTATATTTTTTTAAATAAAGAGCTGTCATCTTTTCGTGTCTTTTTTACCCTAGTGGTACTTTTTTATGCATGAAAGCGAACGTACGAGCACGTTTGTCGTATGAAACTAAGGATACGGCAATTTATTGAGAATGTGTGAAACGAAATATTCAGTGGGACAAATTTAGATTTAAAAAAAACGATGGCGCTGAAGTATTAAGTGCCAGTTATTTATAGTTTTTAAAATTCGTTTTTATTTTTTTTCTTGCGATCAAAATTGAAGAACGACAACATGACATGGATTTACTTTAAAAGTATTATAAAATAAACGACGCAACTCCAAGTTAACAAATTCAGACGAGCGCGGTTCGTCAGTTGCGAGAAATTTAGCAATTTATTCCCTATCCCCTTATTTGTAATCTGCTGAAAATAATTTGAACAGCGCGCCGGATTTCAGTCAGAGTTTAACACTTATATAGCCTCACAGAACTTTTATTGAAAATGTTTTAAGCTCTCACAATCTCGCTTCGAAGTTATCGAATATTAAAAATTTTACTTTGCAAATGTTTTTTTACAGATTATTATGCTTTAATCGGAAAAAAGGATGTTAATTCGGAACTGGTTAATTGCATTTCGGAGATTTAAATCACGTTATGAAATATTTTATTATGAAATTATATTTTGTAAATTTTCTAATCACTAAATAGACGAGCGATTCCTTAACCTTTTACAATATTGGCAAGGTTTTCATTATATTGACATTTTGCAATTTCTTTTAATACAAAACAATTTAAAGTATATCTTATTACACTAAGTATAAAGTATAAAATGCTTAACAATGCTGTCGAGTAGTAATTTAAGCTTGGGGGAGGAAAGAGGATTGTCAGAATGGAGCCTCATTTGGAACGTTTAAAGAAAAAGAAAATGGAAAATAGAAATGAGTATAACAACTTGTTCGTTATTGATTTTTTTTACATTCAGTTTCACAAAAGGATAAATAAAAATTTTGCGTTTATTAACTTATACGGACTTTATCTTTTCAAGGATAAAAGATGGGAATAGTTGGAAAAAAGTGAACTTTAATTATCAAAAAAAAATATCTTATTTCATTTGTTTAATTATTATCACATTACTTTTTAAAATTCATGGAACGATTATAAAATCTGTCCTGTGTCGGAGGCTGGGACATATAGTTCTAACAATAAATTCCAGAGGGCGCTGTTCTGAATGATTGGAGGTGTTCCGACGTTATTGGGGTCCCGGGGGTCCGGGTCTCGGGGTCCGGGGTCCGGGCAAATCGACGGGAAATTGTGCTGCCGATTGCTGGCCGCACAATACAATACATTCCGCACCAAATAAAAATAAAGAGGTAAATGCAGGAATTCAAATAAAGAACCTTTTATCGTATACGTAAAATAAAGTTCTTTTTTTAAGAAAAAATGTTGAAGAAAGCAAAGAATAAAGCTTTGTCCTGTCTTCAAGGATGAACTAATAAGCGTAGGAATTTTAAAGACGCCTAAATAGTTTATAAAATAGGATATCTCATTACATATATAGTAAAAAAGGAGAATAAGAAAGTTTTAATCACAATTTATGCTTATATTTCACCCACGTTGAACTATAAAGAATTTTAAAATAAAAAATTGGTATAAGAGGTTTTTTGAATTCGAAGATGACAGACCTACAAACATGATCTATATTTCTATTAACGTAATAAGGTTGGATATGAAAAGTTGTGAGTTTTGGAGTGAGGTGAGAACAAAGAGGGGAACGTGACCGCAAATCGCATCAAACATTGCTGCAGCGTGCTATTTGCATAACCCGTAAAGAGCAGAGATCATAT